ATGTTTGATCACTGCACATGAATTGCATTCTAATACACAATATTTAACAAACCTAAAATACTTTACATTTTCAAAAGTTGTTTTAAACAATTCTTATAGGAAGAGGTGATGTTTCTGAACAGATAATGTGTTAATGATTTCTTAATAAGATTAGCATATTAATTCATACCCTACAAAAGTACTCGTAAAATACATATAAAAATTACCTATTGCGTGCATGCAAACAAAATAAAATCAAAAATCAAATTTTTCTTAAAATAAAATTATTTTAGTTCGCGCTGTAATAAATACTACTAATAATAGTATTAATACTACTAATAAATGCTAATAAAAACTTGTTTACGTTTAAATATATGAATAGCACTGAGTTACAGACAAATAAAGGTTTTTTGACGTTTAGAATCGCACGCTAAGCGCGTAAAATCCTAAAAAGTTATCAGTAAAACATAGTTTTGCGTAGGTCTGCATTACCAAATCAAACAAGCACAATTCTGAATTTATAAAACACCACAAATCTTTAGTGAATGGCAAGGAACTGCGCATCGAGTCCTCGTGGTCGTATTAATTCAGGATGAAACACAAACTGGGGGGGAAAAAATCTATTGGTGTTCATTCAGATGACACCTGGCAAAGTTTGAAAACATGACTGGGCAAGTGCGCGGCTCTGAAAGCATTAATCAGGGCATCAGGCGATGCATCTGGCGGCTTAAGGATGGGACAAGACGCGCTAATTAGGTAGAAATGGCCCTTTTCCCCCGTGACCCAGCGGGACCCTTGGCAAGCTGTTTAACATTAGTTAAGCAATTAAAACGTTTGAATGCAAATGTTGCTTTTGGTGAAAGCTCTGGTCTTGGCATAAAGTGCATTATTTTCTGTGTTTGTTATGATCCACATGATGCATGCCTTATATGAGGTCACACTGTATTATGACGGCACAACAAAAACGCAATTACTGGCCTTAGCCTAAGGGAAAACAAAGCAACAAGTGGCTAAGCTCGAAATGGTTGGTCTGTATCTGACATGAATAAATATTCATAAAACATTCAATTTACTTGCTAGAACATAACACAAAGGTGACAACATTGCTTGAGGCTCCAATAAGTTCTGCAAGGAGGAACAAAACAGACAACAAATCTATCTGGGAGTGTCTGACCTACTGGCAGTCACATGTCTTGACAATGTGGCTGTTTCCAGCCTTAACACTCTTGAAAAGCCTGGACTCCTTCACAGGGCCCAGCGTTCGCCCCAAGACAGGCACAGGTCTGTTTAAACCGGGTGTTTTAGACACAGCTTAACAGGGTATTACGATTCTCTTTATTTGGTTACTAATGCCTCTTGTGCTTTTTAGGATTCTCTTATGCAGTTTGTAGAGCTGGAGATATGGGTTTGGTTTGTCTATCACACAGGTTACGTTCGTTTTGTCCTAAAGGAAGTGTCTATGGATGTATCCTCTCCGAAATGTAAGTCAATAAACATTTTTAATCAAATAAAAGAGGTTGAGTGAATATTGATTTACATATTTATAGTCTTATGGTTTGCATTATAGTCACTTTGTTAATTAGGAGTTTTATATGGATCATAATGCTTCTGTAAATCTAATAAATCACTGCAACGTAAATTAAATAAATGTTTTATTTTCTATAGTGTTTGGCAATTAACCTGAATTTTGTGACTCGTAGTCAATGCAAAATAGCCTATGTATGTTCTCTTAGGCGGGGATATATATGAAAAGAATATCAATATTTTGAGAACAGCTTGAATTTGAGAGTGCGCAGACGCGGCCGGCTGGTGGCGACAGTTACATACAGGCATGTTCACTTGAACTCAAGAGGTGACCGCACAGTCCAATGGCTACATATATGCTCAGATATCTGATTAAATGGATATTAGAGCAAGAAATGTATTTGAAAACGCCGTGTTCCAAGGACCACATCATTTTTGTGAATCTTAATGCTGAGTGAAGTTTACCAAATGTCACGAAATAGCCTCCAGAGCAAGTGTTTCCCCACTTGTTCATCATCAGATGTGACGCATTCCCGTGTGCACTGCATTAGAGAACAGAACTTAACCACGCTACAGGACGGAATCCGAATTGATTTCTGTGTGTATGTTTACTATGTTTCCCCTCGCAATGCTCTGTAGCCTATAGCGATACGCTGAAAAATCAAAATGCAATATCGATGCCTGTTCTTCTAAAATCATACAGCTTTTGCTCCATGCGGAAATGCGATGGAGGCAAGCATATTTTGTTGTGTCACATATTGTTTGTCTCAGCCTTATCTGCATGACCCAGCCAAGCGCAGCAAAAAGCCAATGAAACGCGCTCTAGCCCGTGACGTCAGTGCCCTCTCGATGACTTCCTGTCCTGGAGCGACTGACCTCCGCGTGAACCTAAATCACACACACAGGCGTTTCATTTGGAAAAGGCAGAAACAGATTGTTTATACTCCAGATTGTTCCATGTAAATAATAGCCTAGTCTCAGTTTAGTTTAACAGTAAGATTATGATAAGATGTCGTTAATTTCCGCCAACAATCTTTTTTAACAACAAAACCTAAGAATACTAGAGCCTAATGCATACCGGGGAAAAAAATCAAAACCATAAACTAGTCGTTTCCGTCGTTAATCTGGACAAGGTACCGACCTTTGGCTTACTGAACTAACAACAACACAAGTTAATATGCAGCACAGAAAATAATGTTTTCGCAAACAAATAAACAATAAACTTGGGAGAAAATTACCTACCGTAAAATGAACGAATGAACGAAAGAACGAATGAATGAATGAATAGGTACAAATAATGTAAATTAATTCTCACGTTTGCTCGTAACATACAGGCCTATGCTAAATAAAGGTCTGGATGACATGCAGCTGCGCTCTTGTTTCATCAGTTAGCCTATTAGACTCACCCTGGATTGATTTCTTTTTAAAATGGGATAGAGAAAGTAAACACGGCAGAACACGGTTTATTAATACGGCAACGAGCACAGAAAAAATTAACTGCTTACTAAAACAGTCAACAGCGGGAAAAAAAGATCTGGATAGCCTAGGCTATGTGTGCTGGAAAAATACATTTTTTTTTAATAAAACTGCCTTTTGAACTCTTAAATCAAAACATTCAAATATCTTCCAAGCATTCCGCTTAATTAGCCTAATCATTTGCATTGAATGGAAAATGTTTAAATCGTTTTAAAGAGCCCACGCACCCACAGCTACATGTCATGTTAGAAAACCAAACAAAAGTAAGATTTAAAATATACATTTCGAAAGAAGTGTAAGAAATGCGAATTAAATTATGCATTCAACAATAAAATAGGCCTATTTTTATTATAAATGACTATTTTGTACTGAACTGCAAAAACTGTATTGAACTGTATTGAACTGCAAAATTGCGCCAGCTATAAAGAGTAGAATTAGCTACACGCTTTAGTTCCATGAACATCACAGAGTGAACTTGAGCTAAAACAAATGCTTATTTCCATTTCGGCTTTCTCTCATCCTGTGAAAAAACATGTAATGCCACAAAAAATGTTCCAAAACATTTAAATGATCTGAATTATTTGAAAATACCTTAACTTCAGTTTCAGCAGGACTTAATATGCGTTCTGTTTTTAAAGATTTAAGGGGTTAAAAATAATTAAACACAATAACTTGCCATTAATGCTAGTTTTAACAGACTGTATAAGGCAGATTGTCTTTTATATCAAATTAAAGCCTCGTTTCATATTTCAGTGGTCACTGGCGCCCTGCCGTAGGCCTATTCTTTCTATCCAAACAGGCAAACAAATAATACCTTTTAATGGTAACAACTCTTGCACTTGGGCACTTAGCAGAATAATTAATGTGGACTCATGCAATAGATTAGATACGTTAAATAATTTTATATAGGCTAGGCCTACTACATTATTATAGCAGTCTTAGTGGGTTACGCAGCAGCAACCGCGGAGATCCACACTTTATAGCATTTCTACAAATAATAATAAATAATACATTATTAGGCCTATTATTATTATTAGTATCGACAAATAATACTCATATTAATATTAGAATAAGTAGTAGTAGTTTTTCCAATTTTTAAAATAGGCTAGTTGACCAAATGTCTTTTCTTCATTAAGTGGATGAATATCATTTTGTTTATTCAGAACGAAAATGTCCATAGCCTATTATGACCGCAGCAGTGTTTCTCGGATTATTTACATACCGCATTCGTCGTTTAATTTTTTATTTTGTTTAATTTTTTTAACATTCAGGGGTTCCGTCTACTTTACAGAAACGTAACATAACTGTTTGTTGAAACATCTGTATATAGCTAGGCCTATCTGTACTTCTGACAACATTTTCACCTTAACGGAGGTTTTCTTGAACACTGAAAATCCTTGCATTGCCATTTTCTCTGATATATCACATGCGCCGCGGATGTAAGATTAAGGTCAGAAAGTGTTAAATCCACTGGTTCCATACAGCTCTTAACCAACAACCTGACACTGAGAACCAAATCATAACGCGGCCAAATATTTTGATTAATATGTTAAAATATGTTGGATCATGTTTTTTTTCTGAAACAAAATAAAAATGTAAAAAAATACACCACACAGGCTTCTATACAACTATTTTAGTTTATATTAATTGTAAATGCGACGTGCTAATTCTCCACTCTCTTTTCTCTACATTTGCGAGTGTGTGTAAAGTTTTATTACTTTTATTTATTAAGATTTATTATTAAATTATATAAGGCTTGTCAAAGGACCAAGAGGTCCCGAAATATTCAGCGTTTCATGTCAAGAGGAATTAAGAGTCCTGTTAGATTTATGGAGGCCACAACAGCGTTAAAATGGATGTTGAACTTGTTCCCATTAAATGCGTTATGAAAGAGAAACGCAGACTCAATTCTCGCGGTGTTACATCTGAGGTTGCCGAGCAACCGCAGATCATCAACAAAGCCTGCGAGGACGCGCACATGACAGCGGAGAACTGTAAACAAATGTGGAAGTTCTGTCATAAACCAAACAAACATGTCATATAAAGCATTCTTGAACCATAGCAAAGTATCAAAAGAGGACCAGGAGTTTTACGACTTGAAGAACAAAGCCGCAGAGTATTACAGGTCCAACGGGGTCCCGCAGAAGATAGAAAACGTCCTGAACGAGATGTTTTGGCAGAAGCCGGATGATATCTATGGTTATCTGGTAACATACCTACGCTTTTGAGATATTAAAGCTGTAAACATTCTATCTTAGAATGATAATTACACCTGCTGTAAAATTATAAATGACAATTCTGCCATCGCGTCTTGTCCGGTTTACATGTTATTCCACCAGAATGAAGTCAGTATTGATGTAGGTCAGATCCTCACATAATTACACACCAACATAATGAACTGAAATCAATAACTGCCTGCTGCTCTTTTTCAGGCGAACTATTTTTCCAGGCTCTCCTATACTCCTGTGATTAGTAAAATCATCGGAAGAGAGGTGTTTGACGGAAGAGGATTGACAGCAGTTCAGACCCAAGTGTACTATATCATCAGAAATGAGGAAAAGGTATATTCTGAAATCATCCACATGCTTCCTACATTTCAGAACAGCTATTACTTTGTCCCATTTAGGTGTATTGTAAGTGGGCCTAAAATAATGAAATGAACGTTGATTTTTGTTGGCAACAAGGTGGATATCAGATCTAAGTGTCTCTGTTTGGATGGTTATGAGAAACTGGAAGCTGGTCTCCCTGTAACCTTTCACCTCGTGCCATTTGCACAATGCTGGACAGTTTGCAGGAGAAATTTGTAGTGACACGATGACAACACAGAACAATTAGAGTAGGAAAGCGTGTGCGTTTGTACTGTGAGTGACACACGTGCTTCACAACCAATCATGAGCATCAGATCACATTCTGACTCTCATTCTCCATCTGTTTTGCCTCCTCTCTATCACTCTGTTTATGTTTGCTAAGTAAGCATTATGCCTGCTGGCATGGTGGCCATATTGCAGTTGAGAGTGTTGATGTTTTAGTTTGGCACATTTAGAGATTATGACAGTAATACATTTGGACAGGGAACAGGCCGGCTGTAGGCATGAGCTGGGGGAGCTGAGATTCATATCAGTGTTTGGGCAGTGCTGAAACGTAATGTCACACTTTTCAAAGGAACTTTCTGACATCTGATCCTTGCGTTAGCATTAGTCCAACACAAACACATTAATCTTTGCAGAGAATATTTGCTGCTCCCCTTATGGTGCAAGAAATGCATTGTTTTCAATGTGAAATCCACACATTTTGACATTGAAACACAAAGATCCAGTGGTGAACTCCAGCACACAGCCACACCAGGGCCAACAGTTCATGTACAGATTGTTATATTCAGACCTTGGTCTTTTCAGTCTTGAATTTTGAAATGACTTGTATTTCCGACCATGAGCCTCTTGATTCATTCATTTTAGAAGAAACAGCTGTATATTTTTTAAAAGGCTTAAAGGGGTGATTTCACTTTTTTAACGTTAGTTAGTGTGTAATGTTGCTGTTTGAGCATAAACAATATCTGCAAAGTTACAAAGCTGAAAGTTCAATGCAAACGGAGATATCGTCTTTTAAAATTCTGGCAGTTTAATGCCTACAAAAACGGCTTGTTTTTTCTACAACAAGTTACTTCCCGGGTTTGTGACATCACAAACCCAGATAAACCCTGCCCTCGGGAAAAGGCAGCAAAGGGGGCGAGGCCATGCTGCGCTGCTTTAGAGAAGAGGAAGAGAAAACTAGGGGTGCACGTAAAAATCTATTCATATATGAATCACGATTCTGTCTTCTAACGATTGATTCACAAGTTTCAAAATCAATGTTCTAAAGCAGCGGTTCTTAATACTGTTCCTCGCGTCCCCCTGCTCTGCACACGCTCTGCATCTCTCTCTCGCTCTCTCTCTCTCATTCAGCTCAGCTCCAGCAATGAACTATATAACAATTATACACTTATTTTCACATAGCTATGAGAAGCGTTATACATGGACGCACGTGCAGTTGCCGTACTGTATTAAAGCTTTAATCAGGATAAAACCGTATATTAAAAGCGAAAAGCTAACATAAGCAGTAGCATTTACAAATAACAGCGTATCTAAAAGTATGAGACAACAACAAACAAAAAACATAGGCCTACCATTAAAAGGCGTGCTTGCACAGGTTCTGCACGATCCTCTTCAATAATATCCTCTGCTTCTCAATCGGGCTCAAACTGATAAACGATATTAACGACTCTGTTGTTTACAATACAACCGGAGCACATGCCGCAGAGGTGAGGGGTGGTACGCTTAGACACGCACTAGAGGCGGTTTAGCCAATCACAACACACTGGGCTAGCTAACCAATCTGAGCCCATCACCTATTTCTGAGGGCGGGGCTTCATGAAAACAGAAGATCAGCCCGTTTCTCAGAGAAGGGACAGAGCAGTGTGGAATAAAAGTAAATTATGTGAAAAAGAATACGTTTAAAAAAAAACGAAGCATTAACACATGTTAGACTGCACCCCATAAACACAATCAAGCCTAGAAAAAAAAACAGTGAACCACCCCTTTAAGCTGAAATGTCATGCAGTGTGTGTGCAAATAAGTGTTTTTATTATATTCCATTGCAATATTTGGCCCCTGGAAATTATTTTATTTATTTTTTCTTTTTCTAACCATAAAAAAAAACTGTAAAAATAGTTTTAGTACATGTAAAACTATAAAAAAATATTTTTGGTAATTAAAAAAGTAAAACTAATAATAATAATAATAATTGAACAAACAAATAAATAAATAACATTAAAAACTAAAAAGAAAATGATATATTTTGCCTTGGTAACTACCTGAAATAGGTTTAAGTTAAAATACTAAAATTACTACATCTAAAACTGAATATAAATTATACAGAAATATTAAAAAAGTCATGAAAGTCAAAAGCACATTGCAAAAACGTTAAATATAAATTAAAACTGAACATAAAAAAGCTAATTCAAAATATGAATAAATACTATAACAGTATATAAATATTACCAAAATAACACTGCATATTTTGTCAAATAGTTTAGTCAGCTGATTAAAATAAATTGAATCTGAACAATAATTGAACAAGCCTACAATAGAATTGAATAAATATACCAGATTTTCCAAATACAATACAGAAGAATTCATTATGGGGGCACATTTTCAATGGCTTTTTGTGTAAATCACAGGTGGTGTGCAGTGCAGTGATGAGTGGCCCTAGTGATGGTCTGGAGGCTGATGGTGTGGCAGAGTCAGGGGAGGCATTTTCTGACAGCAACCAGCAACGTCTGTCTATCACAACAGCTCTGAAGTGGATCAGAGAGCATCTCAGTCCAATGCTGCAAGGCTTCAACCCCACTGATCAAACCAATGTAGACAAACTACTCAGGTGATCACAAAATACACAAGCATCACTCAAAGAACATGAAGGTTGCTATGATAACCATGCTTTAAAATACACAGGTTGACTGAGGTTGTGTCTTTTGCCTGCAGTGATTTCTTCATGGCACGTTACCTGGAGCACAAGGACAGTCTTAACATAGAGAAGGAGGATGAGCTGAGGATTGAATCAGTGCCTGAGGCTCCGCCCCAGGCCACTCCCACACCTGCACCTACCAAAGACAAGAAAGGAAGTGATAAAGGTAAAGGAGCTTAATATTTTGCCATTTTTAAAGTGTATTTAGCTGCACAGTAAAACATTACTGATGTTACATATTATTTGAGGTCACACAATAAATACATCAGAATAGTAGCGGGATCAGAGTCAGGTTAAGTGAGGATGCCACAGGAGAACAACAACCCATCTTAGTGCAGCAAGTAAAAAAAACCCTGTGGGATTCAAAGACAGGATTCCAGCCAATCTTCTGTCATCTCACTGATCTGAGAGAGCTGTTGTAAAAGCAGTCTGAAGGACTCCACACTTCTCTGTTTCATAGAAAGCCTACTGGGAGCTGCTCTCAGATACATTAGCAGCTTGTACTGAATCACATGTGTATCATTTTTTGTGATGGTGACACTGTTTTCACCTTTTCATTGAGTCCAGCCTTTCTTGAAATCTTAGAGAAATCAAAGGTATACAGACTTAAAGGTGCCCCAGGTAACCTTTTCTACTTTTAAAAACCTTTTACCCCTACAGAAATGAATAGTACTTTTGAAAAATCAGTTTAAAATGATGGCCTTCAGTCATATCAGTGGTCTAGAAAAAGCTGTTTTATACTGCATGGAGTGGGTCTTCTCTTGTGGTGGCCGCAATGTCGACATTGCACGCTCAGTTAAATGCTTCTCACTTAATCTCCGTAACCCCACCATTATTGGACATTTTTGCTAGAGAAATAATCAGGAATGGAAAACTTTGATGCTTCAGCTCTCCTTTAAGATTCAGATGATATAAGATAATATAGAGCACTTTAAACTGCAGATCCTTCAATGACCTCTCCATCCCCTGCACTTTCTTCTGCCATCACTGTTTTTGTATTCAGGTAAAAAAGGAAACAGCACAGAGAAGCCCCTCCCTCCTGCAGAGACCCCAGTGCCACAGCTGCCAGGAGCTACGGCAGTGGGTGTGGTTTCTTTGGCTGTGGCAAAAACTGCTGCCAGACTTCTAGGAGAACCCTTATACCGACATATCACATCAGTCAGAGTCCCGCAGGTACACTACCATTCATAAGTTGGGGGTTGGTAAGATTTTATGCTCACTTTTATGCTCACAAAGGCTGCATTTATTTAATCAAAGATACAGTTAAAACAGTACTGTTGTGACATATGATTACAATTTAAAATAACTGTTTTCTATTTTAAATGTAAATGTAATTCGTTCCAAGATGTAGATTATTTTGTCTCCTCATTGGAAGGGATTTGAAAAAATTTAGCATTACATCACTTACTCACCAACGGATCCTCTGCAGTGAATGGGTGCCGTCAGAATGAGAGTACAAACAGTGATAATGTATCACAGTTTTCACAAAACTATTAAGCAGCACAACTGTTCTCAACATTGATCATATTAATTACAATTAAAATTAATAAGAAGAAATGATTCTTTCGAAAGAAGTCACTTCTAAATGAAATAAACAGGTCTCAATACAGGTTTGTCTGACCTGTTTTCATGACATCAAAATTAATAGTAATTATAATATATTTTTGAGTGCAAGACTATAAACATGTAAACCATCACAATCCTGTCTATACATGGTTTATGTTTTTGACAAAGAACATTATTGAATAATGATAAACGTGTGTGAATCAATGAATGAATGAATGCACAATTTGTTATACATTTTAACATTTGCCACAGTAGTCTGTGAGTTTCTTGAGCACCAAATCAGCTTATTAGACTTTCTGAAGGATCATGTGACACTGAAGACTGGAATAATGGCCAATGGTTGCTAAAAGTTCAGCTCTGCCATCACAGGAATAAACTGCATATTTAAATAGTTTATTCATTTCAAATTATAGTAATATTGCGCAACATTACTGTTTTTACTGTATTTTTAAATAAGCATAAGAGACTTCTTTCAAAAACAGTAGCTGTTTTTAAAAATTTTTACTAGCCCCCAAATTTTGAACGGTAGTGTATGTAAAGAAAAATTCTGTGATATACTAAAAATTAAGATAATGGTAGCAAGCTAGTATACTGTCTTAATCTTTTCAGAACCATTTACGTTTTGCCATATCTTGCCAGTATATTATTATATATGATATTCCTCTATCACTCACCTGTTCTCTCTGTTTCTCAGCCTATAGGTGTAACAGAAGAGGGGGCATTACAGGTGGGGTTTGAACGTCCCGAACAGGTTCTTGATCTGGTCACAGAGGCATGTGCTAACCTGGCATTGCCTCTGGGTTCAGACCTGCGCTTGGCTATAAACTGTGCAGCACACGGCCTGATGGACTATGTGAGTGATGGGAAGACAGAACAGGGAAATGATTATTCTCACATTCACCCAAAACAAGTACTGCAAATGTTTAAAATGAAGGTTTAAATAGTATACTCTAACCATTTGAAATGTTTCTCTTGCTGTCTTCTAGTCTTGTGGGAGGTATGAGGTGATGTCTGGCTGTCACAAATCCCCAGATGAATTGGTGGACATGTACGAGGGTCTGATTAATAAATATCCTGCTATCACATCCCTCATTGATCCTTTCAGGAAAGAGGTGAGATTAAAAAAGCATGCATTTAATCCCCATTTATTGGTATAAAGTGTCTTGCAGCTCATCTGGTTGAACTGACAGCCTGTCTCCGAGTTTAGGATGTAGATCAGTGGGAGAGACTGGCTTCAGTGATTGGTCAGTCATGCTGCCTGATTGCAGATGCTGCATCCAATCGCTGTCCTCGCTGGAGTGAAGTGAAACCCCTCCCACCTGGGGTCACCAGGGTCATTATTAGGCACCACAGTTATATGACCATCTCTGACCTTATAAAAAGTATAGCAGAGCAGAAAGGTAGGCTCCTAACATGAGCAAACAGGATGAAAGAGTACTTTACTCAAATCTAGGTGCTCACTGTGTGTTCTGGCATAGTCATTTTGACAGTAATTTGCAAAAGCATAATTTCCAAGTCTAGATATATTGACTGTGTAGTAAGTATGTAACTCTTCCCTATGCACACGGAGATGCAGAGACGGTCCTGGCTGCAGGCAGTGGTGATACATCAATTGTTGACCTGGTGGGTTGACCACAATTCATTCTTTATTTTTTTTAGGGAATTCATTTCTCAGTGGCATGTAGTCGCCGATCAAGTCTTTTAATAGAAATTCAAAAATAAATAGTGAAATCAGATTTATTTAGTTCCAATGAAAATACCAAACAACTGATGCAGCCCATGAAATTACATTTTTATCATACTGTAGATTAAATGTGTTGCTGAACACAATCCACATGTCCAAAGAACTGAGAGCAATAATTTTTCTATTGTAGTAGAACATTTTTCATTACAAACTATATTGTAATAGGAAAATTTGAACAAAAAGTGCAAAAAATTTTTTACACGAATGTCAGATTTTTAATTAGTGACCTATAACGGAGAATCTTAAATATTTCTTCATTTAATTTGTTTTACATTTTTCAAAATCCAAAAACTTTTCAGGTTTAATTAGATTTTGAGTCACAGTTTCTTTCTTGTGGACCCCACCGTATGTGTGTTTAAAGGCTGTAGGGTCAGGTGTGTCCTTTCTCAAACTGGGTGGGTTGAGAGGAGGAGAGCGAATGGACAAATACAATCGTCTGTTGGCAATAGAAGAGGACCTGGAGCAGGAGGGGATCCTGGGTACGGTTCTCTCACATAATGGCAAGTACTATTAGTAGCATATTAAAAAAACAATGTATAATACCTTTGTGTTTTTCAGGTGCTAGAGAAAAAAAACAGCCTCTCTCAGATCTTTCCGAAACACTTAACTCCGGAAGCGGCTGTGACTCTGTGACCATCTCTACTTGATGTGACTTCATCTCCTGTCTGTCTGCCTGACATTATCACAGTAGGGTTTGTCTGACCTGACTGTATGACATCTAAACGCATATTAATTACAATTCACATCAAAATATCTTTTTAGTGCAAGATTGTAAACATGTGAATTGACTCATCATATGCACCATATTTCTATGTGATATGCTTTAGTGCTTATAGATGGTTTAAACATTAAAAACATTATTAAATAAACAAACATGTTTTTATATAAAGCCCACCCACAATTTTTAATACATTTTAATATTTTTCACAGAAGTCACAGTGAACATTTCCACATAGACTTGCCCACCATATAATTATTTTGTGTGATTGTCCACAAAATTAAGTTAATTGTGTGTGTGTGTGTGTAATGTGTTCGTATTTTCCTTCCTGAAGACTTTTTCATTCCATGTGCTCCAGATTTACCTGTAAGAGAAAAATCACAAATTTAAATTATATTTACTATATACATACATTTACTAGACTACATACTGAGGGTGCAAAAAAATCAAAATATTGAGAAAATCGCCTTTAAAGTTGTCCAAATTATGCTCTTAGCAATGCATAAAAATTAAGTTTTGATACTCACAGTAGGAAACTTAACAAAATAATTTCATGGAACGTGATCTTTACTTAATATCCTAATGATTTTTGGCATAAAAGAAAAATCAATCATTTTGACCCATACAAAGTATTGTTGGCTATTGCTACAAATATATCCGTGCTACTTATGACTGATTTTGTGGTCCAGGGTCACATATATGATTTCTATTATATATAAATATATATATATACATTATATATATTTCTTAAATATATACATGTATGTGTGTGTATATATATATACCCTGTGAAATATTACACTTCACCTTTAAATAAATAATTTATGTACATTTATACATTTATTTATAAATATTTATTAATTTAATAACATTTAAAATATAAACTATATATTTACTATTATTGTTTTTAATTCTAAAATGCCTCTGGAATTTCCAAAAACTCAGACCGTGAACTCCGTCCTCTTTTTGTCTCCCCACCCCACAGACAGGTTTTAGAGAAATCAAAGCTATTCTTCAATGATTAAGAGGCATAAAACCACCCATCACTTCCTTCTCCACATCCTCTCCTCACTATATACAGACAACAGATACTGACACACACAAATACACACATACACACACGCACAGTGACTGAATGGGGCCAATTATCCAGCCTGTTCAAAAGGGCAGCAGTGTCCGCTTCATACAAGTGTTTGTGTCTGTTTATGTGTTTGTGTGAAAGAGTGTGAATGGACTGTTTTGTGTTAACAAGTGAGAGAAAACACAAACCCACAGCTGTGCTGCGAAACTAGAGGACCACAAGAATGACACATTCAACTCCTAATCAACTCACAACATGTTCGTAATCTTGTTTACCTCTTAACTGAATTATAGAAATCATGAATTTACTAGCATTGCACCTTTTAGGGAGAGAAACACAGCCCTCAAAATACACCAAACTTACATGATGCAGAGCGGACAGCATTTTGTAAGCATACAATGGGTGACATCTGTAAAAAAAAAAAGAAGCTATTTGCACGCGGCGGGAGTGTAGGGGGTGCTGGGGGCATCCGCAGAGAAACAGAGAGATTTGAGACCAGCATTACAAGTTACTGTGGCTCCCCAACAGGCAATCATTCTGTTTGAAAAAGAAAATGACTAACAAAACAGGCTAAATTAAGCGTTTTACACACACATATATACACAAGCTGGGCTCTAAATTGTGGTTCTGTCAATAGAGGTTGTTTTGTGTTGCTTGACTATGGTTTCGAAACAAGTGCAGCACAAGTGTTATAGAACACGATAAGAAGCAAACATAAGACACAAACAGCAGCAGGGCAACAGCCCAGCATGACGTTTTATGATTACAAGCTTGTCGAGATTGACAGAATGTTTATAGTACATCGATTAAGAAAAACATGCAGACCAGAAGACGAGAGAGACTGCAATTGAGCAAGATATTTACTCATTTACACCTCGCATCTTCAACAAATGCCAAACCGGAAACGTCAACAAACAAAACATGCTACATGTCGGACAGAAGAGCTAATAAAAATGTGAGTCCATTATTGATTGTGTTTTGAGTGCTGTTGGGGAGTGGAGATGAAACTCAGAGAAAACCTCACTCTAAAAGGATCTAGATGCTAGAATGTTTATGATCCTAGTTTGTGATCTCTTCTACATCTAGTTTTAGGGTCACACATAAGTCCAATAATAAAAATTATCATAATGATAATAAAAGTAACACTCTACATTAAGGTCCCAATAGTTAACGTTAGTTTATACATTAACTAACAACTAATATTAACAATATTAGCTGCCTTGTATAAAGCTCTACATTAATGTCTAGTGAGATTTTCATTTATTGCATTTGCAAATGTGAAATCAATAATCCATCATGACAACACCATGTACTCATATAGTCCTGAATGTCTGAACCCTAAGTTTTGCTTATGAACAACAAGCAATACATTTGTATATTTGTTTATTCATCTTTGTTAACATTAATTTATATAAATACAACTGTTCATTGTTAGTTAATGTAAGCTCAGGTCCGTTATGGTAATATAATACAAATAATACCAATATTAACAGATATAACTTTTGATTTTAATAATGTCTTAGTAATGTTGATATTAATATAAAAAAATTATTTAGAAGTATGTTCATGTTAACTAATGTTAACAAATGGAACCTAAATACATTATATAGAGAGAGAGACTTCAGATGCAAAAAGTCCATCTGAGATTTTTCTGAGACTTTTTCTTTTAAATTAGCATTTTTATCAGGCTCCTGTTTACGGTAACTAATTTCACTTTCATGGAAAATAAAAGGTTATTAGTCAGTTATTGAGTGCATTATTTTCAAAAATGTCCAATGATATTTTCATAGGAGTCTGATAAAACAAAAAACAAATATATTTTACCATTTAATGTACAATTTCAGCCAATCATAAGATGTAACGTTTTATTTACTAGAACTTTAACATGTATTGTTAGATTTTAATAAATATAATTAAATAAAAGTTTACCAGTGGAACATTTGAAGGAAAAAATACTTAGCCCATAAAAAATATGTATAGAAAATACTTGTAGCCTATACAAAATACTTTTTTGTTTTTTAAGATGTTTATTTCTGGCGTTTTTGCCTTTATTATGACAGGACAGTTTAGAGATGACAGGAAGTGAAGTGGGGGAGAGAGAGAGGGGCAGGATCAGGAAAGGTACTCGGGCCAGGATTTGAACTTGGGAAGCCCATAGCACAACGGAGCTGTATGTCAAAACAAAAACTTTTTTTTTAACAGACACTTGAAATATCTCTGCTATCGACTCGTGCTATATGGGCTTTAGTATACAGCTAGTCCACTACAAAACTGAGTGTCAAAATATTATAATTTTTCATGAACAACAGTAGTTTAACCCACATTTAACATTGTTGTTTACCAGATTCACATTACAAACATCCTTGCGGCTTTTAAAGGACCCCAAAGATTCAAAGCTACATTCCACAAAGCTCTTTCATTCACAAAACACAATGACAGTCAACACTAACACATTTATAAAACGCTTCTCAAACACAGCCTTGAATTGGAGTGTACAGTGTGTGTTATTCTCTGCTGCAGGTCAGGGTCAGGTGAGGAACAGAGTAAAAAAAAAAAAAGAGAAAAGAGGAGAGAGATTGAGAGGGAATAAAGTTTAATCTTGTGTCCGGGAAGATTTAACCCCATGAAGAGCCCTAAGCCGCTCTGGAAATTGTGCCTAAGTGTGTGAAAGCAGTGGAAAGGCGTCACTGAGCCTCAGCGCAGACACACACATCTCCTGTTTCACAGCACAACAACAACACAGCAGCTGCAGCTCACTAGAGGAAATGAAATCCTGTCGTGTAACGAGGCATGACAAACGTCACACCATTGTATAAATCTGATCTAGTGTGCGATTCGGACGGAATAAAATGATTCTCTGTGGACTGGATGGGGAAAGATACAAAATTTCAGGGATCAAATTTACATCAGACAATGAGAAACGTAGAAGATGTTTGCCAAAATGCCAATAAGCAGACAAAGGAAACACTTCATCACTGATCTCAAGTCAAAAGCCAATGCTTTAAACCATCCAAAATAATTTTTCCAGCCTTGCACAATATTAAAAAGGCCTTCACATCAAGGGCTGAAAGACCTTATATACTTTAAATTTTTTTATTTATTCAATTATTTTTACGCATACTAACACTACCGTCCAAAATTTGAGGGCAGTAAATTATTATTATTTTTTTTATAATTATTATTTTATCAGCTAGGCTCCATTAAATTGATCAAAATATGACAATTAAAACATTTTACAATTTTAGAACAGTAAACTGTAATAATATTACACAATATTACTTTTTTAACCTTATTTTTGATCAAGTAAAAATGTGTCTTGGTGAGCATTAAAGATGTCTTTCAAAAAACAATAATCTTACCTTATATAATTCTACAGTCAAAGTTCTGAGGTGCATTAAAATGTCATTATCAGTTTTTTATAGTAGATTTTATGTTGCTTGAAAAAAATAGTAATCATGATTTGACTATGTGAACATTTTGACGTTCACATTTCAAATTGAACAGAAATGTCATGACCCTTTCAAAATGTGCTCCTTCCATTGACACTTCAAAAAAAGAATCTATGTTGTCATTGCTGTTAGTTAATATGACAAAAGAAAGTATGTGCTCAGCTGCAGAAAAAGGGTTCAGAAAAGTATTCTGCTGTATAACAACACTTCACGAAAGTCTGACCTCCTTTAATGAAGCATTTAGATTGATCTTTTGATCACAAAGATCAGCCGCCTCTCACAATGTGCCTTCAGGGCTGCCATAAATGAAACCACCTCAGGCCCATGCCTATACATGCTTTCAAAATGCTTCACTTAAGCCATCCATTTAAACTAAACTGCTTTATATATTCTATTCAGTAGCGTGTTATTGTCATGTCTGCATGTCAACAATTTGAAAAAGAATAACACATTTCATTACAGCTCAGTCAATAAATGTACAAATAGCATCAATTCATTGTCTGTTATTTTAAAAATGTGTCTCAGGAATAATAGTCTTGTGTGATTGACGACCCAAAATTGCTTCTCTTCTATACTGTTGGTGAAAACGCCAATTCTTTGAACCTGAAAAAATATCCAGGTTCATGAAACAGTAAAAAGATTGTTAAAAGGGGGATAAGTTCACACCAGTGCCTTGTAATTACCGAGCGGGACGTTAGAAGGTTAATACTAGTCTAGCCAAAGCCATTTGAGAACACACTAGGTTGGCACATGTTCAAGGCTGGTCACCAACGCCCCTCTAGAAACGCTTCTCACAAAGACAAAGCATGTGTCAATGACTTTGTTCAGTGAGGACGGTCCTGCCAAAGTAGACAGTAGGACCGAGGGGATTTCGTTTCACTATTATTAAACGCTCACATATATTCAAAGTCCCTCAAAGTGAAGAAAATCAAAAACATTATACCACTTATAGATTCTCAAGTTAATACAGTGTGACTAATATGTTTGTTCCAAACAGAAGTTATTTTTTAGGGGTTGCTCTTTCACAGCTCTGGAGACTTCATGGATTTCTGAGCACTTATCAAGTATCAACTTTTTCTAAAATTTCCCAAAAGAAGTGAAAACAGACTCAACTTGTTGACATGCTGTAATAGTATAAAGCTATAAAATGTTTGTGGACTGACAGTTTAGATAATTTGGTTTATGAAGAATATTGGAGTTATCCTGAAATCTCAGACTTTATCCCAAAGTATGCTCAAATTTGCTAAAATAAAATTGTTGTCACCATAATATCTGAGATCTCTTGCAATTACTTCTTTCATACTGACAGTTTCTTGTATAAGTGGCATGTACACTACCATTCAAAAGAAACATTCTTTTTCATTCTGTTTAAAAAAAAAAAAAACTCAAAATATATATATTTTTAAAAATGCTCATGAGGCTGTATTTATTTGATTTTTTTTTTTTGTAAAATAGTAATACTGTGGAATATAATTAAAATTTAAAATAACTGTTTTCTATTTTAATACATTTTAAAATATAATTTATTCCTGTGATGGCAAAACTTCAGAAATCATTCTAATATGCTTATGCTCAAGAAACATTTTTTTATTATTATGAATTTGAAAATGGTTGTGCTTCTTAACATGTTTGTGGAAAACACCATTTTTTCAGGGTTTTTTGATTATACATTTTTTTTAAAAACTATATTTAATTGAAAGATAGTTTATGCTAAAACACTGATTCATAGATTATAGAAAAATATTTTGTTATGGATATGGAAATTGAATATAGACACTCTTTGAACCAAACAAAAGAGAAAATTAACTAACAACTGGGCGCAAATGGTTTGACCCAGCCAAAAAAATAAATAAACGTGAGCATATAAAAAACCACACATATGCTTGATGCTGTTAAGTCACATTATGGCTGAACTTCTGCAAGTATTACATGTAAAAAAAAAAAAAAAAAAAAACGTACCTAATTCATTGCATTACGATTTTGTAGTCACATGTGTTTGGTTAGTTTGGATGAACTACGTACGCTGGTGCAGTAAGAAATTTTCTTTTGGTGTGTAAATACATGGCTCTACATAAAAGAGCAGATACTCACAACCTATGAGCTCCTATGAAGGCTTGAGTTGATCAGTGCATATTGTGGTTGTTGTGTTGCGGTGTGTCCTGAACCTGGTCCCTTGTGTTCTGGCCTGGTTCTGACTGGGTTTGCTTAATCTGGGGCAGATTCAGGGCAGTACTGGAATTCGCTGGAGGGGAAGGGTTGAAAAGTTAAACGGATGATCTGGCTCAAGAGACAGAGAAAATGTGCTGAAGTGTTCCTGTGGCTCAGTGGTAGAGCATTGCGTTAGTAGCGCAAAGGTTGTGGGTTCAATTCTCAGGGAACACACATACTGATAAAAAAATGTATAGCCTGAATGCACTGTAAGGATAAAAGCGTCTGCTAAACGCATACATTTAATTTAATAAAAGTGTGTGTGTTTGACTGACTGTTATTCTTTGCAGCTTTCAGTGCTCCCCTCCGTCTCTCCAGGGCTTTCTCCAGCTCAGACTTCTGTGATGGCGATGGAGGGCATGTCCCAGGCGAGCAGGAGGGGCCGGGACTCTTGACTGAGTTCTAACAGAAAGATTACGTTACTATACCAATAGCTAGTTTTAAACACATTTGAATTATATTGAAATATTTTTTGTTTCTTTTATATTAAAAAAAATATATATACACTGACATATAAAATAAGTGTTAATAGTATTAATTAATAATAAAAATAAATAAAGCAATCCTAACCAGGATTCCCTGAAGGTCCTGTATGGCAGAATTTGTCCCTTCTTTCTGCAGGAAGACCAGAGAAACAATTAAGCAGACTATGTAAGTGAGTGTTACTATTTTTAAGTGAGTGTTATTATATATAAAGGGGTCATGAACTGCCTCTGTTTTTATTTTGTACTGTTCTCTGAGGTCCACTTATAATGTTATCAAGATTTTTACATCAAAAAACATAATTTAGAAGTAATAGGCTATTTTCTGTCTGGTTTTTGACCCGCCTCATCTTAACGTTCTGTTTGAATAGGCGTGGCAAATTGTAGACTAGGAAGTAAATGCCCACTGCTATGATTGGCTAACACTTGTGTTTGTTTGACAGCCTACTTCCCTAACAGATGGACGCTGCTGTGATTTAGGTTAAAAACGCATATTATATTGTTCTAATATGCTGATTTGGTGATCAAGAAACATTTCTTGTTAATGTTAAAAACAGTTGTGCTGCTTAGTATTTATGTGGAAATCATGCTACTTTTTAACAGGATTTCAATAAAGTAAAAAAAAAAAAACAGCATTTATTTGAAATAGAAATATTTTGTAACAAGTCTTTACTGTCACTTTTGATCACTTTAATACATCCTTGCTAAATACTTACATATTGTAAGTAATTTCATTTAATGACACTGATTAACTGAATAAAAGAAAGTGTAAAGTATGTAAAGACATGTGTACCGGTCCTGGTCTGGCTCTGTTGGTTCTCTGGGAAACACGTCGCAATTGAACTCCTTTTTTGATGCGTTGCATCATCTCATCCACAGCTTGCTGTCTGATGTCCTTCTCTGTCAGACACACATACACACACACACACACGCATGCACAGACAGACAGACAAATGGGATTTCTATTAAAGCACATTTAAACAGATCAACACAGATGTAGATAAACATCTGCTGCTTTTCATTAGCAGTCATTTCAGACACTGAATAATGAATAATATCAGACATACTGACACCACTAAACAGAACTGTGAGGATTTCTATTTGAGATGGCATGCACAAATATCATAAAAAAATCAAAAGAAAGTTGATCTGTGATGTTTGTCTTTGTTTAGCGGCCTTGGCAAACACAGTTACAAAAAATGTGAATCTTATCTGCTTACCAGCCTGATGTTTTTCTGACATGATAAAAATCAATCTAAAAACATTCTCTTTTGCAAAGGCACTAAATTGGCATTACGTTTCAGAGCTAGAGTATGGTCCAATAACAACCTTCTATTCATATGAGATCATAAAAATGCTGTTCAATAATAAGAACACCTGAAAGAAAACTGCAATTATTCAACAAAAGTATCTAAGCTTTGGCCTGCACTTATACTTATTATAGGATGTGAAAGAATTTTAGTCAATCCATTGGAAAGATCACCATTCCTTGAAAATATTCAAACCCAGTGAAAAAGAAAATCAAGCACTAGTGATAAAAGGAAGGCTAAAGTTCACCAGTCAGTTTCTATAAACCTGAACATCATGCCAATAACTGAAGAATTGTAAAAAAATTTTAGCATAAATGGGTAATGACTTATCCAAACTCTGTACAAAAGTGTTTGTCCTTCAGCAAAAGGCTGGAAGTCTTCTTTCTTTTTCTCTCCCATCGTTTTTTAGTGTAAGGCTGAAAGAAATGGCTAAGAACAAACTTGAACTTGACCCAAGTCTTTCATTTTCATTTTTGCTGTGATGAAGAACACAAGTTTACTTTATGTGAAACGGTGTACATTAATTACATTCCATCTGACGGAATGCACTGCAAATTTCTAATTGATATTCAACACTGCTCAAAAAGGTCAACATAAACGTCTGAAATCTTTCATGTGGCTTGACGGCAAACACAACTGCAGGGCAGCCCTGCTAACGAAAAAAAAACAAATCAAAGAAAAAACCTTGAACCATCAGCCATCGCTGATTACTGTGCTTTTAAATTATCAATCTATGTAATCTTTGCATTTATTAATTATTATAAAGCAAAACCTTTAACCCGAGCAGGTTTATAGATTGGAAATTAACTATTAAATTAAAAATGGCTCCGCTCTTTACCTGGGGTTTTCTCAGAGGAGTCCTTCTCCACTAATGCAGTTTCAGTGCTCACGTCTTTTTTCTTACGAAGCATAGCGAGTAATGAGCTAAAAGAGATAGAGACAAAAGAAAAAATGGAGAACTAAAGCAAAATTTCCTGTTTCAACAAGAAATGTGTCATTGAAACTTCCCAATGAGCAAACAGCTTATTGACTGCCGTTTTCATCTGATCTTTTTTATTATGAAGTTATATTTTCTCATTTTGATGGCTTTCATCACAAATAGACACTCACCTGAGTGGGTTGCTTGAGGAGGCAGGAGGTGGAGGTGGAGGAGGTGGGGGCGGGGGTGGAGGAGGGGGTCCTGGGGCAGCTGGTGGTGGATTGGAGACCTGCTGGAGCTTCTTTTTCAGATCCTCCACTACAAAACATAGAGATATAAACACTGGGTTATTTGGAGTGTTGTTCAAAAGTTTTGGGAGAAATTAAATACTTTTATTTAGCAAAGATGCGTTACATTGATAAAAAGTGACAACAAATAAAAGTATTACTGTGACAAAACTTTTCCATTTCAAATAAAATACTTTTCTTTTGAAATTTAAATTTTTATTAATTAAAGAATCATGAAAGAAATGTATCATGTTTTCCACTAAACATCTAGAGGAACAACTGATTTCAACACTGATTATAGTAAGAATCTGATCTGAATACCAAATCAGCATATTAGAATGATTTCTGAAGGATCATGTGACACTAAAGACTGGATTAATGGCTGCTAAAAAATTAAGCTTTTTCATCACAGAAATAAATTACATTTTAAAATATATTAAAATAGAAAACAGTTATTTTAAATGTTAAAAACATTTCACAATATTACTGTTTTTACTGTAATTTTTTGATAAAATGGTGAGCATAACAGACTTCTTTTTTTTTTTTTTTATCTAAAAACTGACCCCTAACGTGGTACCTGTGAATCTGAGGTCTTTAGCCTCGGTTTCAGCTTTAGTGTGTTTGTGCTGCCACTCTTTTCTCTCCTCATCCAGCAATTCAATCTGTCTCTGTAAAGCTGTCAGCTGCTTCTTTAATTCGCTGCCATGTATCTGCTCTTCAAGAGCCTTCACCTGGAATCCACCAACAAAACATGGGTTGTAAAAACAGAATGTGATCTTTGAACTTAAGGTATAGTTCACTTATAAAATGAATACTCTGCCATCATGCCATCAAATGAAATGGTGACCAGGTCTACTTCCACTTTCACTATATAGAAAATAGCAGCTTGGACACTGGACCAGTGTTTTTTTTTTTTACTGTCACTGAGATACTATTATAGTCTTTCTTAATATATTTTCAGTTTTATTTCAACTTTAGATAAAGTTTTTTTTTAGTTTTTTTTTTTAAAGTTTTTATTATTATTTGCTTTTAGTTTTAATTTAGTTTAACTTGTTGAAATAAAATAAGTTTAAGTTTCATTTTTTTTTTTAATATTAAAAATTATTTCAGCTAAGGTTTGTTTTATTTCAAGCAACGGATTGTTTTAGTTGTAGTTTTAGTTAACTATAAAAAACCTGCACTCTGCATGTTAAATATCTCCTTATGAGTTCCATGCAAGAGAAAAAGTCTCGCCTTCTCCAATTGAACGACATGAGTGTGACAAAATTATGACTTTTTTGGGTGAACCATCCCTTTAAGGCAGTACAACATAGTGACTGTACTTCCATCCCTCACACCCTCATTATTGTTCTTGTCATATTAAATATGTCATATACTTTATATAAATTCTATAGTGATGGCAGACAAATACCATGAAGTGAGTGAGTCATGTCGACTCCAGCATTTTCCTTGATCCTTTAAAGGGTTCATATGATGCGATTTCAATTTTTCCTTTCTCTTTGGAGTGTTACAAGCTGTTGGTGCATAAAGAAGATCTGTAAAGTGTCGTGTCTTTTTCCTCTGTTCTTAGAAATTACACTCAGTCTTGGTTTTTTTTTTAAGTCAAAAGAAATACACTTTATTTCAACAATGAGAATAAAGTGGAGAATCTCTGCAGAGAACATCTCCAGAACTTCTTTGAATCTTCCTTTTTATACATTTGGATTTGGAGGCGTGGGGTAAATATTCCATATAGTTTTTCCATACATATAATGGTTCCTTTGTGCATATCATTCAAACAGCCCCTCCTCTCTAGTCTTGTTATGTTAAAGAAAGCCCCCCCACTTATGGTTTTTACAGATGTTTCTCATCTTAGGTTTGTACTCTTTGCCACGTAGGCATGTTTTTACACACAGGCATATAGGATTATAATGGAAGTATAACTAGATATATTAATGGCTAGATTCGCCTTGATTATACTTGATTAATTCCTATTTGGATTAATAAAAATCTTCTACAAAAGTTGCAAAGACTAACGTCTCAAATCCAAAGAGATATTCTTTATAAAAGTTAAGAGTCAGCCACACCTACCTAAAACGGCTCGTTCTAACACGCCCCCACATATCTACCTCACTATGTGGGAAGATTTGCATAACGCCGCCCAAATGTTCACACAAAGAAAGAAGGCGTAACTTTTATTCTCACTGTAGTATTGTTGCCGCTTTCCGCCATGTCCTGAAGATGCTGTGTGCTTCGTTGTGAAAGCGAAACTACTTTGTTTGGTCTTCCAAAAGAGGACGATATCCGCTTCGTCATGCCTGGAGCTGATCTGTGCTGGTCGCTGAGGGAATACATCAACTTAGTGCTGTGGATCGCCTTTCACCGTGGACGAAGCCCGGGGTCGTCACATGTGCTTGCCGCTCCTTCGTCGGATCCGCCGGCTGGGCCGTTCTCAACCCCGCCGCCTCTGCTTACTCTAGCCCGGCCTCAGCTCACGCTAAGCCGGGGCTTCCGCTAGGCTGCTGTGTTTTTCATTGTGAAAGCGAAACTACTTTGTTTGGTCTTCCAAAAGAGGACATGACTACAAATCAGTGGTTAAGTTGCATTTACAACACTGTTCCAGAACAGTTTAACCCAAACATTCAGATGAGTGCAGCACATTTTATGGAGGACTGTTTACTGATCCTGGGAGAGTAACGTTAAACTAAAATGCCGGCAGTTCTGACTCACGTAAGTACGTTTTCATTTAAAGGATTTGCCACTGATGATTCAAACGCGAGTTTTGGGCAGTGTGGAGTAGCACTTGTTGTTTGTCATTTCTCTGATCACAAATGCAGACAGGGTTTTATGTTTACACGGCGCGATGCAATGCAATGCAACGCAACGCGTAAAAAGACAGTATAAGTCATTATAATCAGTAATTATGTCCCCACTGGATGCAACAAATGCCTCGTTTGTAATGGGTTTTAATGTTTTTGTCTCATCGCTCTGGCCGGGACACGGCGTCAACAGTATAGTGAGGGGCGTAACATTTCCGTCTCACGCTTTTTCGGACCGATGAGCTTTGTAAAAATCGACACGTTCAAAAAGGCGGGGCATAGAGGAGAAACAATAATGTACAGTATGTGGAAAATAATGTGTTTTTTTAACTTTAAACTGTATAAACACATTTCATTACACCAAATACACAAAATACTGTTCTTTTTAGCAGCATCATATGACCCCTTTAATGATTGTTTAAATGCAGAACACCGCTCATTCCTTCTCCTTTCAGAAAGGCACATAATGAACTGCATGTGTGTGTGTGTGTGTGTGTGTTTGCTTTGGTGTGACACTAGGAGAGGTTGGTATGGTTGATTTGATTGGTTTGTCTGTTATTATTTTAATGACATTTGGTCTGTACCCTCTCAGGACACTGTGACCTTAAGGACAGTGTAGGGATTAATGTGTGTATGTGTGTGTGTGTTTATTACCTGCTGTTGATGCTCCAGTCTCTGTGTCTCTAAAGTGTGTGTCAGTGTGTTGATCTCTGCCAGAGCTTTCTGTAGAGCTTCTGTTGGAGACACACTTTGGATCAACATCTGGCTTTGTCTTTTCAGCTTCTTCTGCTCAACTAGCATCTTCATTCACCCACAGAGAGACAGAGAGACAAGCACACATTCACACACCGCTTAATTAACATATTCCAGGAAACCATAAATATTCAGAGTTCCTAGCATGTCTTATACATTTCAATAAAGTAATTATGAATTCAAATCAAACTGAGCTTTCACCTCATGTGCAAACTTCTCTGCTTCAGATCGCAGGTCCCTCTCAAGCTTTAGATCATCTTGCAAGGCCTCAAACTCATCTAGAGCATATTGAGAAACTACAAACACACACAAAGAGGTAAGTTTTCTATATATCTTGTCTATGGCATAATTTATATTCCTGTTGACCTTCTGATGACATCCACTACAGGGCATAGACCTTTAAAAGGCATTTTAGGGTGTAATTTGCCATTTAAATCAGCATGGCTAAGTTAAGTTACTTTTATTTCTATATTGCTTTATACAATACAGATTTGTAAACAGGAAAATAGCAGAATCAATTATGGAAACTCAACTATGGAGCAGAAGACAATAGTGTCCGATGATGACATTTGGCTCTTATCCATAATTCTACTTTGCTGACCTCTTTATATGCATTTAATTTAAATTACTGTTCAAAAGTTTGGGGCTGGTAATTTTTTTAAATGTTTTTGAAAGAAGTCTCTTATACCCGCCCAAGCTGCATTTATTTGATCAAAAATACATTAAAACCAGCAATATTGTAAAATATTATTACAATTCTAAAAACTGAAAATATAATTTATTATAATATAATTATTCCTGTTACGGCAAAGCTGAATTTTCAGCATCCATTAACCCCAGTGTCACATGGTCCTTCGGAAATCATTCTAATATGCAGATTTGGTTGTTCAAGAATTTTTTTTTATTATTATCAATATTGTGCTGCTTAACACTTTTGTGGAAATGATACAAAAATATAATATAATTAGAAAGTTCAAAAGAACAAAATTGATTTCAAATAGAAAACTTTTGTAACATTATAAATGTCTTTACTTTTAATAATAAAAATAATACTACTTTTACTTTTGAATAAAAGTAGTAACTTCTTTCAAAAAAAGGTAATTCCTCCAAACTTTTGAACGGCAGCGTATGACAACATTATCTTCTTTTGTATGCAACAGAGTGCAACTCTCTCAAATATATCATTAACAAAAGTAGACCAGAAATATAATTCTTTATTTAAAGTGATAAGATTATGACATTACTAGTAAGTTAATGCAGTAAAACCCAAGATTAAACGCCTTTCTCACATACTTCCTGTCTAGTTTGGCAGAGCTGCTCTCTTGTCGTCTCCAGATCAATCACAGTCTGCTTCTTCTCAGCCAGGATCACTTCTAGTTTATCCCTCAGCTCTACCACAAATAAACAAGAAAAGTATAAATAAACAAATGACAGTACAAAACAGCCTGAATTCTCCAAGTGTCTTGTAACCAAACATCATGAATTGAGAACTGCAGCGGAGGGCAAAATTACTTATATTTTTAGTTTGTTTCTTATAAAAGCTATTGAATGTAAGACTTCGAAATAAAGCATGTGTTGTATGGACTACTTTTACAAAGTTTTTCAGTGCTTGAAAGCCTTGAAAAAAAGCCAGTGGTCACTTTCAACTTTTAACTGTTGTTTCAATATAAAGATCTTTTAAAAAATTGGATTTAAAACACATAAATAAATGAATAACATTAACAGAATAACAAAATATGGAAAGCCTGTGGTCAATTTGAACTGTTGTTATATGTAAAAGTGTAAATATGTAAAGAGTAATCTTAAATAAATAAATAAATAAAATATTTAATATAGAATTGAAACTCGAAAGCCTGTCACTTTGAACTGTTGTTTTATGTAAAAGTGTAAAATAATTTATATTTACCGGTAATATCTAAAACAAAAAAACAAATGTTTCACAGAAACAAACACTGAGGATGAGTACATAACTAAATTTAAATTTTTGGATAAAAAATTCGAATAGCCTAGACACTTAGGGCCCTATCATACACCCGGCGCAATGCGGCGCAAGTGTTTTTGCTAGTTTCAGCCCGATGCAGTTCTCATTTTCCCATCATGTGCCGCGTTGTTTAAATAGAAAATGCATTTGCACCCATTTATGTGCCCATGGGCGTGCTGGTCTAAAAAATATGTGTGTTCAGGTGCATTGTTGGCGCATTGCTATTTTGAGGAACTTAAAATAGACTGCTCCATAGACCAACTCAAACCTGGTCTAAAGTCTGGAGCAATATTTTTTCTTTGTTATTTAAAGAGCGCGTTAGTAATATGCGCCTATAGGCAGGTGCACAACACATGTATACTTTGCTTATTACACACACAGGGACACACACAGCAGCACACAAACATTTTTTAAAATGAAAAATTACATTCCGCCATGTAAATAACGAATCCGCCATGGCGCAAGCGCAACTGGCTTTTAAAGGGGATGGGAGATGAGACTCTGATTGGTTTATTGCACGTTACGCCCAAAAAACACACATTACTCATAAAGAGAATAGGGATAGCCTGTTTAAACCATGCACCCGGGCGTGCCGACAGTTTACCCGTCGTTAAACTAGCAAAAGTGGATTCGGACACGCCCTGAGTGCACCTGCGCAGTGCGCTTTAGACCATGCACTTAGATCGTTAAAATAGGGCCCGTTCAACCAAAAATGAAAATGTTATGTTTATCTGCTTACCCCCAGGGCATCCAAGATGTAGGTGACTTTGTTTCTTCAGTAGAACACAAACTAAGATTTTTAACTCAAACCATTGCAGTCTGTCAGTCATATAATGGCAGTCAATGGGTCCCATGGCTTTGAGAGTAAAAAAAACATACAGACAAAATCGAATTAAACCCTGCGGCTTGTGACGATACATTGAGGTCTTAAGACACAAAACGATCGGTCTGTGCAAGAAACTGAATAGTATTTATATAATTTTTAACCTCTGATCCACCGCAATGTCCAACTGTCCTGAGCGTGTTCACAACATCCGGCGCGTGACGTCAAATAAATACGGTTGGGCAAAAAATTCCACGTTGTCTGAAGATATATCAAAATCGTCTTCCATTGTGATGACCTGTACTTCTAAATATCTTTAGATCATCCAGTGCCTGTGAACACGTTCTGCAATCTCTCTGCACTGTGTAAATAGTGAGTGACATATACGTGCGACAGATCACTTCCGCACATGCGTCTACTATCATAGATATGTATAGATGCCCTATTCGACCACTCCAGATACGTTGACGCGTCCGCCATTTTGGAAAGTATCACGGCCCATAGAAACAGTCACCAATGAGGAATCTACTTATATATATCTATGTCTACTATGCCAGAGCACGTACACGGGTCACACGCCGAATGTTGTGAACGCGCTCAGGACAGTTGGACATTGTGGTGGATCAGAGGTAAAAAATTATAAAAATACTGTTCAGTTTCTTGCACAGACCGATCGTTTCGTGTCTTAAGACCTCAACATATCGTCACGAGCCGCAGGGTTTAATTTGTTTTTGTCTGTGTATGTTTTTTTTTACTCTCAAAGCCGTGGAGCCCATTGACTGCCATTATATGACTGACAGACTGCAACGGTTTGAGTTAAAAATCTTTGTTTGTTCTACTGAAGAAACAAATTCACCTACATCTTGGATGGCCTGGAGGTAAGCAGATAAATATAAAATTTTCGGTTTTGGGTGAACTATCCCTTTAATGGCAAAGGTGTCTAATTTCTGTACTACTAAATAATGACGGCTTTCACACAAGTTTGTCAGCTATTGTATGACTAAACAGGTAGTCAAGCCTTAATTTAATGCCAGAGCCTATGCTATTATGACAGGCCCAGTCAATCTGCTTGAACAAAAAACATGCAATTCTTTGCTGTCTGTGTCATAGAAATTACACACTTCACCTTTAAAACTAATATGTAGATGCAAAAAGTATAAAGTGATAAAAATATTCAAAAGGGTCTGGCAACAGATTTGCGCTTGCACTCTCAGACACTTGCACTTCCGCTAGCGTATATACTTTGAGTCAACAACAAGACATACAGGCTACTGAATTGTCTTTAACATCCGTTATTATGTCACATTAAGTGTTTTGCTGTATGGGAGGACAAGTGAAAGTTTGCGCATTGTGTTCATGGTCATCTGCTTGCCTTGTAGTACATTAAATAATAACTATATATCGAATTTGATCTTTTAATTGCACTTAATGTATCTTAATACATTAAGCCATATTAAGTGTTTATGTTTTTCTACAGGAGGAAAACGCTTAACGAGAGACTTTGTGCATTGTGTTCACTTTCTGCTGTTCTGTAGCCACGGATTTGCGGGTCTTGTCTTTTTCTTGCAGGACCCTGCACGTCATAGTATAAAATTAGTTTTAATCGTTTAATCACCACCACAGCTTATTGTCTCCATTGGCAACACGCACGATTTGTGTCGATTGCAAGTGATGTCGCAGGTATCGGAGAGTTCAAGTGGCGATTGCAAGTGACATTGTAAGTTAGTTTATTTTTTCTTGTCTTCACCACCTGGCTACTGTTGTAAAATGTTGAGAGATTCAAACAAAAAGTAATCAATAAATAGAACAAAATAAAAAATAAAAAAGACTGCAAGTGACGTCGCTAGCGGAAGTGCAAGTGTCTGAGACTGCAAGTCTGAGAATGCAAGTCTGAGAGTGCAAGTCTGAGAGTGCAAGCGCAAGGCTGGAGGCAGACCCTTCTCCAAAATATTTTATTAAGCAATACATTGTGGGACAGTGCACTGACCCACCTGTAATGACAATCTGACATTGGAAGGAGCTACAGACTCCTGACTCCTCCTCCTGTGGATCTTCATCATTTTCATCATCCAGACTGATCTCAGCAACGACATCAGCACCAAGGCGGGACATAAAGAGCATACTCTTCCTCTTCAGAGAACGGTTCTGTCTGTTTAACTGAGAGAAAGATATACATTTGTGTATTTGAAAGATATTTTATCCAAAGCAGCTTAGAGTGCATTTAATGTATACATTTCAACTCATGATCTGAGTGCTGCTGGCATCACACAGTACCAATTGAACTCAACTCAACTCAAACTTTATTTATAAAGCGCTTTCAACACCACGACTGGAACCAAAGTGCTGTACAGAGAAAGATAAAAAAAAAATAAAAAAAACTACACTATCAAAATATGAATTTGCTTGGTCTCGGTGAAGAGAACGAAAATCCAGTGTCTACTGACAGTACAAAAAAAAGTTAATCTAGTGAGGCCAATGTCGTCACATTTATAGGAATAATCAAAAATCAAAATGACACCTGTAACACCACAAATGATATAAAACCCAAGCCGGTGATTTTCTGCGTTTACCACAGAGCGAAAAAATATGAGAAATCAAATCAGCAGCATGTAGACAGACCAGCCCACTGGAACCCCAGCGGGTGCCCATGCAATTCCCCTCAATCACACAGCCAAACACACACAGCACAAACACTCTGGAAGAGAGCAATAATCAAGGGCAAAATAATAGACATTTCATTACACGTATGCAGGAGCAGCAGCAGCAGACACTCCTGTTTTCATAAATAATTACAGCATTCTATCGGGCGCGTCGGCCACGGACCCCCTCCCTCGCCACATGCACATACCTGCATTCGAGAAATTTTACCTTTTTGAACACCCAATTAAAGTAATTTAAGACTGGTCATTCACACTTCAATTAGGGAGGCCACTTAATGGAAACTCAGAGAGCCAATGGGGATGGAGGTATGTAAATTAGTACTGGATGACATTCCAGTCAGAGAGAGAAAAAGAGTGGGAAACGGGGATAAAATGCCCCTCTTTAACGAGCCTTTATTAATGACATCCAAGTGAGGACACACAGCACGTGAATCAATTTCCTGATGCCGTCCTTCCTGCTGAATGCATCTTTCAAAAACGCAATCAACAACACATAATATGGGGATAAACACGCAGACACACACGCATACACGCTTGCTCTGCGATAATCATCCGGCATTGATGAGAGCGCAGCGGTGAAATTACACACTGGCAGAAATCAGACGTGCGTCCCGAGGTGGCCAGGCCCCTTATCTCCTCTGATCACACATCAAAACAAAATGTCATTTGTTTGGATTGCACTTTGATTTGACTGCCACCACCCGCAGACCCTCATCCATTACTGTTTTTTAATTCAAAATGTTCCAGAGTTTAAAAAATTGATTAGGATTTTTTCCCTCTTCTTTTTTTGTCTACCTCAGGGTCTCTTGGCAGACAGAATTACAGCCGTCATACACAATAAATCACACCGCTGAAATGTAGAGACTATTTGAGACAATTCCACTTGTCATCCTCCAATCAAACCTACCAAAATTTTTGGACTAATTTAAATGTAAATTTGGGATGAGCCAATGCTGTAATTTTCACAACGTATTCTTCAGACTTTCAAAAAAGAGGTGAGATTTCTTTTCCATCCTGTGGGCTGAGATGCAAATCAAGTCAGTCTTTCATACTTGTTTTATAAATGTTTGCAAAATTAGTTCACATAAATACAGCTACAAGTCAACATCATAATTTCATAATTTCAGTCTGGTTATTTACATATTTACTGGGTAAGTAGCCAGAAAATAAGTGGAATAATGTATAGTCTGTTGGTCATTATGGTAAAATAGACGTAGTAATGCACCAATATTACAGATCTGGTCAATACCGATAAGGTGATAATTATTTTCATGTTATGGCATACAAATAGCCAGCATTAAAATGTAATATAGTTTTATATAAATAGATAAATAAAAACACTGCAAACTAAAATCTGTTTTTTTTTAATTCTACAAGTTAGCCAATTTAGGTCAATTATAATGTACAGTATGAAAATGGGCATTCAGTTTGAGATATGCTAATAATTACATTTAACAGTGTTATTAAACCTTTAGTGTTGTAAAAGATTAACGTTAAGTTAAAATTAGATGATGACAAAAGTAAAGTATAAATAAATAACCAATATCATCCAATACCAATAAATTAAAACAAATTGTAATATCAGTTTTGGTAAGCATAAGAGACTTCTTTCAAAAACATTTAAAAAAAAAAACACTTTTGAATGATTTTGTAAAAAAAAAAAAAAAAAACTATTGGGAAAATCAAATTTTTAATGCAAGAAATTTGGACTTCAGAGATCAATGCAATGCAAAGTGTTTCCTGCTTTAAAATAAAGACAGTTGAGATATTTGAGAGGAATCGTCTATGTGTTGAAAGAGCAGCTAGTGACAAACACAACTGCCTCCTCAAACAGTCATCTGTCCTGACAGATGGAAGAGGAGTAAACCTGTGGAGGCCGAAACCTACAGGACTCTCCTGCTGTTAGTCACATAGACGTGAGGGGCTCGGTGTGGAGGTGTTCACAGAGCAGCCAGGACAAAGGGCATCTGCACTGGTTTTCATGCGCAGTGGCCGCCGGCAAACACAGAACAAGCTGGGCTGTGCATTTACGGATGTCAGGAAACCATTGATTGGTTAAATCAAGCTTTTAGCCAACACATAATGCTGAGGCACAAAACGGCCCAGCTGCAGGTCTATTTCCTCCATACAAATGAAATGCTCTGCAGTCTTCCTCAACCGCAGCTCTCAGAAACATCTGTGATGGCTTCACATACTTCAAGGAAAAAATTTTAGCTATACCTCAAGAGAAATGGCAGGAATGAAATCCTGTCATCCACGCTAAATAACAGTAAGCCAGCAGGGTTTTTTTCACCTCAGTCTATTTTGTCAAGTATAAAAAAAAAAAATGTCAGTTTTCATTTGCACAGTGAAATGTCTTCTTTTTTTGGATATAGAAAGACTTCAAATGACAGCTACCCTGCTACTAAAATGCAGGACAACAGTGTCCTTTTTCAATCTAAAGACTATTTTCTCCTGGTCTTTATCTCTTTTATCTGTGTCTTTATTCCTTTCACTGCTACTGTTCTCTCATTTCTCTCTCTGTGTGTGGTGATCAGCGCTCATCACTGACAGACAGCAGAAGAAAGTTGATTCATCCATTTATGAATGAGGCCCCAGGCCTGGACTATTTATGTTGTTTTGGTTCTGTTTGTGCTCGGCAGTCGTCCGTGAGGGGCTGTTGCGCTATTTTCAGTTTTGTGTTTATTTTGTTATTAAATTGTGTTTAAATGTTCGCCGGTTCCTGCCTCCTCCTTCCTAATCTACGAACATGGATACATTGGTGCCGAAACCCGGGAAGAAGGAGGGACATGCTGCCAGAGATCCCTCACCACTGTGGTGAATCCATGGTGCCATCGAGCATGGCGGAGCAGTCTGCCGCCATGGACGCTCGAGGCGGTGGGCTGGAGTGAGGCTGAAGCACTGAGGGACCTGCACGAGGGTGGTCACGATCCGGAAGTTCTGAAAGAGCTCAAAACCGCAACTGACTTCACACTCCGAGCGACGAAGGTCACTGCGAGTTCTCTGGGTCGTGCAATGACCACACTTGTGGTCCAGGAACGTCACCTCTGGCTGTATCTGGTTGACATGAGGGATGCCAACAAGTTTGGTTCCTCAAGGTCCCTGTGTCCCAGACCGGCCTCTTCGGCAACACAGTCGAGAACATGGCCCAGCAGTTCTCGGCTGCACAGGAGCAGACTGAGGCGATCCGACATGTCCTGCCCTGGTGGGCAGCTGCTGCCCCACCCGTCCGCCAGCCGCAGTGCCCCAGCCTGCTCATCGCCGAGGGCGGCCCCAGGACGGGGGACCCAGAGAGACCCCCGCAGCAGCCTCGAGCAAGCGGCACCGTGGAGCTGGGCATAGGCACGCCACCCCGCCCATCCAGGCCCCCGTCAAACCTGGCCGTGAGCAGAAAAGCAAGAGGCCCTGGGACGGGTGACCCAGAGAGAGAGGGAACTGCTCTTTGGGGGATGGAGAATGCACCTCTCCCTGGAGTATCTGGTTTCCAAAAATCTCGACAAGAAAGCAGTTTTCTCTGTCTCTGGGTCCCAAGAGGGCATGTAGAGTCGCGGACAGACCAACACCGGACCACACTCATCCTCCTCTCTCGCCAGCAGGCAGCAGCGGGTTGTTCGAGAGTGTCATAAAAGTATCACGACCCCGTGGAAGGGAAGTCGGTAGGGAGGCATGACTTGGTCGTCAGGTTTCTTAGGGGGGCAAGAAGGTTAAATCCTCCCCAGCCCCCTGAGATGGTACGTAGACCGGACACAAGCTTCAGGACCTCAGATCAGTTCTTTGTCTGATATGGAGGCCGGCAGAAGGGGGATGCCATCTCTAAGCATAGGATGGCCCACTGGATAGTGGATGCCATCACCCTGGCTTATCAGGCACAGGGTGTTCCCTGCCCGCTCAGGTTGCGAGCTCACTCTACTAGAAGTGTTGCATCCGCCTGGGCGCTGGCTCGTGGCACCTCGCTGACAGATATTTGTAGAGCTGCGGGCTGGGTGACCCCCAACACGTTTGCTAGATTCTATAGAATTCGTGTGGAGCCGGTATCCTCCTGTGTTCTCACCTCAAAGGGGTAGAAGCACTGAGAGGCCCCGGTTTAGTGTCGGCTTGCTAAACCTCTCCAGAGAGTCCATACGATAGACCCTGTTTAGCTCCTCCATTCCCTCGGCAGCCAGACGTGGTGGAATGTCTGGCACCAGGCCCTCACTCGATGAATCCGTGAGAACCGGTAGAGGGCTGGGTTCCATATATAGAGACCTGAGTGGATCCCATATGTGTAAAGTTCACAGTATAGCCTCAGAGCCCCGTATTTCCCCGGCAGACTTCTGCCATTTCCAAGAGGGTTATAATCACCTCTAATCTTCCATATGCACCTAAACGGTTCTTCATATGTGTAAGTGCTTCAGAAACCTCCTTCGAGAAGGATGGGGCTTATGCAACGTTCCTGTTCCAAGTGTAACGGGTACGTTTTCCCAGTGTCATCCAATCTCACTGAGTGGGTAGTGCTACAACAAACAGTGACTGATCTTCTTGTTGTGAGCCCCGGCCTACGCCGAAAAGGGGGCGCAGGAGGCTTGCACAGGACACTGGAAGAGGAAGCATCTGTGGCACAAGTCGGTCATTACCGACGTGACGTCGAGAGTGACTGACTGAAAGGGAACGTCTCCGTTACATAAGTAACCCTCGTTCCCTGAAGGAGGGAATGGAGACGTCCCGTCCTGTCGCCACAGCTACTGTACCACCTCTGAAAGCATCTGTGGCACTTTGGTAGGGATCCCAAAGTCAGTCATTACCGACGTGACGTCGAGAGTGACTGACTGAAAGGGAACGTTTCAGTTACGTATGTAACCCTCGTTCCCTGAAAGAGGGAACGGAGACGTCCTGTCGCCACAGCTGCTGTACCACCTCTGAGCCGTGTCACCGGCTCGGCTCCTCCGTGAAAACCTGAGTATGCATTGCACCTGCTTAGTTATACTTGCGCTGCGATCAGTGGCAACTGGACGCAATCATCGTATGCCAATGTGCATTGGCTCGTTTAGTTTACACTCGAAGTGGACTGGTCTCTCTAAGCGAGATCCCAAAGTCGGTCATTACCGACGTGATGTCTCCGTTCCCTCCTTCAGGGAACAAGGGTTACATATGTAACTGAGACGTTATCTGCGGTGTTTCCTTGCTCTCACTGGCAAGCACCTTTAAAAATCCAGTG